TGTTTGTTTGTTTTTGTTTTTTCAAGACAGGATTTCTCTGTGACTTTGGAGCCTGTCCTGAAACTAGCTAGCTCTTGTAGACCAGGCTGGCCTCAAACTCACAGAGATCTACTTGCCTCTGCCTCCCGAGTGCTGGGATTAAAGGTGTGCGCCACCACCACCTGGCTTCACCCACTACTTGTTGTGCTGGTCAGATGTCTCCTGTCTTGCTTGCTTATTGCTGCATTTGTACTTGATCAGCTGTCTTTGTCCCTCCCTTGGCTTTTTGCTCTGTCACTGCCTGTCTGCTGGTCTGCCCCTTCTGTAGTGCTGCATCTTCTGCATATCCAGAACTAAGTTCATCCATCACTTTCCCTGCTGTATGCCCCCATACTTGGTCATCCTTCTACCTGTTGCATTGTTATCCATTACATCCAACACATGGGCCTTGCCCACCTCCAACATCACATTAAGTCTTTAATTCTGTCAATTCTAACACCTATCAATTCTTATTCTGCCCAAGACAGTCTTAACCTCCCCTAGTTCCTCTTTCTTTAATGGCTAGATTCCTTCTGAAGGCTTTGGTCGGTGACTCCCCTAACTTTACACTCAGCCAGTTGAACCTTGTTACAATCTTCTTGTTAACTGTTCTAAACTCTGTATTGTTCTGTGTCCGTTCCCTAACACTCTTATTGGTATCTCCCAATTGTTCACTTCTATGTCAGAACTCTTTATTATTGAGGAAAACCAAAAAAATCTTTTGTTGTAGCAACAGTCCTTTGGTGATGTAATGGCTGCCTTGTCTTGCCTCATGTACATTATATTCCCTTTGTGTCATCGTCTCAGACACTAGTCTGTTGTGTCCATGTTTGTACTGAGATCCTGCTTGATGCCTGTGTTGGAGTTGTGTACTTTGAGAATGACATGGCCGTTGCCATCTTGAAATCTGAGCTGCTATTGTTACCCCTGGAATGTTCACCTAAAATACCAGTCACCACTCCCCTGTCCCAGATGCATATAATCCTGGCCCAACTACACATAGTCTTGTGGGATTTAAGAGTATACAGGAGATGGAAGTTTGGCTGAGGTTGAGATTTCCTGATTCATCACCAATGTCAGGAGTAGGGCTTATTCCCTGGTGCCAGCTGCCTAATAGTCCCCCTTGCTCCTAGTCCATGTGTAAGCCTTTCTTTGGTCTGTTGGGTGGTTTGCAATCAGTAGGCGTTTCTGTGCTTCTTCCCAACTTGCTGTCACACAGGTGGTACCAGACAAGTATTTTAAGCTTTGAAGTTCTGACTGCCTACAAGCTGCCGGTCCTTCTCTTGGCTAACCCGTGTGCTTCAAGTTTTGCTTCAAATACCTCTGTAGTTCACACTTCCTTTACTTCATTTTAGTATTTATTGGCTACCTTTTTAGACAGATTATAATAATTGAGGATTTGAATAGTTTATTTGTGCCTCACTGCAGGTTAATGAAGCCCTTGATAATAGTGTTCAATTCCCAGCACTCACATGGCAGCTCACAGCTGTCTGTAACTCCACTTCCAGGGAATCTGATACTTTCATACACATAAAATAAAGTTAAACAAATCATAAAAAAAAGGAGCCGCTGCTCTGGGTCTGAGGAGCTGATACCGAATGGTGGTGAAGGAAGGCTCAGACGGGGCAGTCTGTCGTATTCAGCTCTGTGTTCTTGGAGGGCAGCAGATGAACTGGCCTCCTGAATAGGAATGTTAGGGATAATTTCTCCATCTCTATGTAATGATTAGGTTGGCAAACTCTAGTATGTTAACTATTTCACAAACTTTTTTTTGTCTGTGTATGAAGGGATTGAAGAGAATTTTTTAAAAAAAAATTTTTTTTTCTTTTTTTGGTTTTTCAAGACAGGGTTTCTCTGTATCTTTTTTGGAGCCTGTCCTGGAACTAGCTCTTGTAGACCAGGCTGGCCTCGAACTCCTAGAGATCCGCCTGCCTCTGCCTCCCGAGTACTGGGATTAAAGGCGTGCGCCACCACCACCCGGCTGAGAATTTTTAAAAATTTATGCTCAATAAAAGATGTCATATGTAAAAAAGAGTTTTTTGTACACATAAGGCAACAATGGCCTAATACAGAATTATATGTTTTAGAAAAGCCAGAATCCCGAGATTCTGTTCATAATGGTTTATTTTATTTTTTCCCTTTATATGAGGTGTGTCTAAGCTGACGACTAATGAGCTTTCCTCAGTCACTCTCTGCCGTATTTGTTGAGGCAGGGTCTCTCAAATGAACAGACTCGCCAATGTGACCAGTCTAGCTTGTCAGTTTGCTCTGGGAACCCCCAAATCTCTGCCTCCTGAGTGCCGAAACTGCAGGTGGCCACTGCATTCACTTGCCATGTAGGTGGGTTCTGGGGATCAGAAACTCTGGTCCTCACAGTTGCGAAGCTTTATTTCATTGAGTCATCTCCCCAGCTCTCCAATTATTTATTTAAAAACAACAACAAATACAAAAACTCTTAAATCATAAACTTTTGGAAATTTGAGTACATAATACCAAGTGAGCACACTTTGGGGGATGAATCATGAAATCTGTCCATTTCCTTAGTATATCAAATATAGTGGCACACACACTGTGTTCGTTCCCTTGTTTCTCCACATCCAAAGAGCCAGCCAAAATGTAGTCCTTACTCATTACAAAAACATTTCTAGCTTATTTTAAATTTTTTCTTATATGTACATAAGATTGATCAATTATCAAAATTCAACACTTAAATAATAAAACCCAGATGTCACTAATATGAACAAAAGTAATATGATAAAAGACCAAGGAAATTTTGGGGGAAAAAAAAACCGAAACACCCATGGCTGTCATCTTGGTTTCTTTTCCTGTTGTGATTAGACAACCACCACCACCACCACACTACCCCTGAGGAAAGCAATTAAGCAAGGTTTATTCTGGCTCACAGACTGAGATTATAGCCCATTAAAATGGGGATGTCACAGCAGCAGGAGCTCCAGGCTGCAGCACGAATTCTCATTGTTCTTAATAATAAAAACCAGAGTCAGATATAAGGGTTAATGCCGAAAGATCAGAGAAGCAGAGCACCGAGCCCCCAGAGAGTTCTTACCGTTACCAATGCTCAGACCAAAGGGGCAATCCTATCGCTGTGAATCCTTAGACTGCTGCTGTCTCTACAAAACCTCAGACAGCATCTCTATGATCTACAAATCCTCAGCCTGAATCAGAGCTCCTGTCTCTTCCCACCTTATAGTCTCTCTCTGCCCATCCATATCACTCCTATCTCCACCTCCCTAGTGCTGGGATTAAAGGCCTGTGACCCCAAGTACTGGGATCACCTTTGTGTGAGCTCTGTTTCTCTTTTAGACAAATTTAATCTCAGGTAGCCCAGGGTGGCCTTGAACTCATAGAGATCCCTCTGTCTCTGTCTTTTAAGTGCTGGGATTAAAGGTGTGTGCCACCACTGCCTGGCCTCTACGGCTGACTAGTGACTTAGCTCTGCACTCTGATCTTCAGACAAGCTTTATTTGTTTGTTATAACACAAACAAAATATCTCTGCAGGGGCAGCTGATCACTGTACTCACAGGCAGGAAGTAGAGAGTGAAGAATGCTTGTTCAGTTCACTTTCTCCTTTTCATACAGTTCAGAATCCTAGCCCTGGAAATGGTGCCACCCACAGCAAGCAGGTCTTCCATTCATTTAACCTAACCAAGATCATCCCTGATGGGTCCATCTTCTAGAGTCTGGATCTCATCACGTTGATAACAGAGATAATACCACAATTGTGCTTTTCCCAAGACTGACTATTTTCCAAATGCTCTTAAAATTCAAACTCAGCAGAGCAAACCTGACACATTTTCAATGGGTGTAAATGAAGGTCTGCTTTCCACTCTTCCTTTTTTCATTTTCCCTGGGATTTACTAGTGTGGCTTACAGGTTGTGGTCCTGGGGTAGACCAACAATAGCTGTCACTTGACAGAAAGGCCAAAAATCCTGTAATTGTCCAATCTACAAGACTGGATGTCTCAGCAGTCCCAGTCCAGTGCTAGAATCCTGGAGGATTCCTAAAGAGCTGTTGGTCTTCAATCTGTGTTAGAATCCCAAAGAAGTAGGTTCTAATACCAGCGAAGGAATGCCTCAGCAACAGGACAAATGAACTTGCCAGCAAGGGTAAGGGCAAGCAGATTTTATTTGATTCCAGATGTAATCAGGCTGACAACCAAGGTCAGTCATCACACACCTGTACCACCAAGCCATCTTGTTGGTCCCTACCTATTAATTTTGGATATAAATAGCATTTTAATGGTAAATAACATCAGTATATTTTTCTTCATATACTAAAGAACACATGCAATTTATTAGAATACAGTATTTGTTTATGGGTTAGAGCAGTGGTTCTCAACTTCCCTAATGCTGCAACCCTTTATTTAATATAGTTAGTTCCTCATGTGGTGACCCCCAACCATAAAAGTATTTTCATTGCTACTTCATTTTGTTAGGGTTACGGATTATAATATAAATATTTGTTTTCTGATGGTCTTAGATGCCCCAACTCAGTATTTTCATATACTCTTTTTCACTCAGACAGTAGCTACCATATTAATTTAAACCACGGGAAAGCATGACTTGTAAATAAACTGGTTCTCAATTCTTTCTGTAGAACCTAGATCAGTATTGTACCCAGGTCCTGAGTAGATGAACTTAGGAAATGTAAAGACTGCCTAGCTCTCATACATAGAGATACAGTCTAGCACTAGAATTTTCAAATGGTTTTTAAAGTGCAACCAAGGTTGAGAATTACACTTTAAAAGATATACTATTTAAATTTACTTTTATTTCTATGAAGACACAATTAATAGCTAAACTTCTGGGGCAAACAGCCTGTCGAGCTGTCAAAAGATCCTGTGTATGTATTTAAATAGCTAAGAAAGATGCTACCCAAAATAACTTGCTGTATTTTGACTCATTTGAACATAATTATAATAATGTAAGACTTCATCTCGTGTGTCTCCCTGTTTTCTAGGTCAGCATGGATTCCTGGTTCATTCTTGTTCTGTTTGGCAGTAGTCTAATACATGTCAGTGCCAACAATGCTACTACAGGTAAAAATTGCTGTCTGAGAAGACGCAAGGCATTTATTAATGCTTACTACTTTGTGTCTTAACTTTTGAGCTTCTCGTTCTTCATAAAATGTTTTTTTCTTTTTCTTTTTTTTTTGGTGTTTGTAGTTTCACCTTCTTTAGAAATTACAAGATTAATTAAAACATCAACAACAGAATCAATTAAGGAGGAGAATAAAACTTCAAATCCAACCTCTTCAGTAATTTCTCTTTCTGTGGCACCAACATTCAGCCCCAATCTAACTCTGGAACCCACCTATGTAACTACTGTCAATTCTTCACACTCTGACAATGGGACCAAGAGAGCAGCAAGCACGGATTCTGGAGGCACTACTGTCTCACCCAATGGAACATGGCTTGATAACGTATTTACGGACTCCAGGACAGAACCCTGGGAGGGGAATTCCAGCACGGTAGCAACCACTCCAGAGACCTTCCCTCCTGCAGGTACCAGAGTTGCTTTCTGCTTGTTCATCTCACTCTGGGCTTATTTGCCATTTTACTGTCTTTGTATATGTTTTATAGCCATAAACTTCTTGAAATATATGTTTGCCAAGAAAAATAATGAAACATCAAGAAAGGGAATTTTTAAAGATTTCTTTTAATGTATGTGTCCATGTACCTGTGTGTTTGGGCCTGTGTCTGTGTGTTTGAATGCATTTATGTGTAACATGTGTATGCGGGTGCCCTCAGAGACAAGAAGAGGGTCTTGGATCCCTTGGATTTGGAATTTCAGGTGGTTCTGAATCCATGTCCTCTGAAAGGACAGCAAGTGCTCTTAATAGAGCCATCCTGCCAGCCCTGTCCTGTAAGCAATTCTTTTTTGGTTTTTTGAGACAGGGTTTCTCTGTAGCTTTGGAGCCTGTCCTGGAACTAGCTCTTGTAGACCAGGCTGGCCTCAAACTCACAGAGATCCGTCTGTCTCTGCCTCCTGAGTGCTGGGATTAAAGGCGTGTGCCACCAACACCCAGCAATTCTTTTTTTTTTTTAAAGATTTATTTATTTATTATGTATACAACATTTTGCCTCCATGTATGCCCCCACTCTATAGGAGAGCTCCAGATCGCATTATAGATGGTTATGAGCCACCATGTGGTTGCTGGAAATTGAACTCAGGACCTCTGGAAGAGCAGCCAGTGCTCTTAACCACTGAGCCATCTCTCCAGCCCCCCCCCCCCCAGCAATTCTTAATACCTGGTTAGTGTAGCACTTTCTGGAGGCTATTTTTCTGATAGGTGAGATCCTATTAGATTGGTGTGGTCCATGTGTGTTTAAAGGTATTGAATAAAGAGAGAGGAGCTAGTGTATAACCAAAAGACTGAAGATGAAAAGCACAGACTGGGTAGTGAATTGGCCTTAAGAAGAAGCAGTCTATGGGGGCCATGAGGAGAGAATGAAGATGGAAGTCCCATACGTAACACAGCAGTAGACTGTGGGTACACGAGAAAGGGGCTCATGGAGGCTTACATTTCAGAGCCATCTGTTCAGCCCAGGTCTCTGTCTCCTTGACTTTGAGTTACTAGATTTAAGCAGCAGTGGCTCAGAGGACAAGATCAGAACTCTGGGCCTGAGATCAGCTTGGAGTAATAGCTCCAATTGCTGCATGATGGAAGGTTTTTTCCCCTAGCAAAATTGCTGTTCTCTCATCTATGATTGCATCCTTTTGGCTTAGATTTCTTGTCTGTTTCAGATTCCCTTAGTTGGATCCATGACTCATGGTGGGATTCCAAAAAGTGCTTTTGAGATTTAATCCTATTTGGTACTAAAAATGGTATCTTTCAACTAGACTTCATAGTGCAGACCCAATACCTGCCTGCTTCAATGTCATTGTTTCTGCAATAAAAGCAAGATAGCATTATTAGTTATAGTTAAGAGCATAGTTTGCAAACCCACACTACTTGTTCCTGTTCAATCCCAGTTCTGCCATAAGCTCCTTTATGAACATAGGTAAATTTACTTGATTGTACCTGTACCTCAATTTTTCACATATAAAATTAAAATGAATGATGGTAATAGCTCATACCCATAGAGAAGTTGTTTAATAAATTGATCTAAGATGGGCATAGTAGTGTACACCTTTAATCCTAACACTTGGAAGCAGGCACATCTTTGTGAATTCAAGGCCAGCCTGATTGACAAAATAAGTTCCAGAACAGCCAGAGTGAGACCCTATCTCGAAAAAGAAAGATAAATAAATAAACTGTTGTAAGTCAAATCCTTATTACAATTCTGTACATAGTGATATGCAACCTTTTTTATAGTCAGCTGTTATAATTGTTAGAACTTTGAGGGGGTTCCATAAATTACATGGCCGGGAAAGGTGATATGTGGCTATAACACCAGCATATAGTAGGCTGATGCAGGAGCATTATAGTTCCAGAGCAGCCTCGGCTCTATAACCAGACCCTGTTTCAAAAAGGTCTGGGCCTAATATGCTCTCAGTGCAAGCTCTCACTTGCTTACTGTGCACGAAGCCCTGGATTTAGTCTACTACTGTTAAGTAAACAAATATAGAGTGTAGGCAGATTTTTCTTTGGGCTGCTAGCTCACAAAAACCCACATGGAGATTTACTATTAATTATAAAAGCTCCACCTTAGCTTAGGCTTGTTTCTAACCAATTCTTATAACTTAACCCATATTTTTTCATCTACGTTCTTCCATGTGCTTGTTACCTCATCTCCATTTTGCCCATCTTACTTCCTCCTATCTGGCTGGTGGCTTCTTTCTTCTTACCAGAACGCTCTGTCCCCAAAAGTCCCACCTAACTTCTTCCTACCTAACGGTCATTCAGCTCTTTATTAAACCAGTCACAGTGACACATCTTCACACAGTGTAAAGAAATATTCCACAACAATAGAGATATGTTAAATGTCCATGCCTCTATTCTTGATTAGATTGAGAACTGAAAACAATTTTGTTTTGAATGTTAAAGTACAGATTATGACTTATTCATAAAAATCTGTTTAATAGACTACCATCATTATTTTGTTTATTTTGTCTTAGTGACCCTATTCCATTTCTATTCATGTTATATATGTAATATTTTGAAACTTTATTTGTTATGCACAAACATACATATGTATATTAAGTAACATCATAAAATGTCTTCTGTGAGTTATAGCCATTGCTCAGGGCAGAAAGGCAAAATAACTTACACAGGCTGAAGGAATGAATATAGAAGGTAGAATTATAAAGTAAGCACAGTTGATTTCAAAGCATGGGTCTCATTCTGTACTGTTTTCCACTTAACAATTCTTGAGATGACCATGGGTAATTATCTCCTGTTAGTGCATGATGAATTTAAGATTAATTAAGATATTAGACTTGGAAGTAGCAAAGTAGACATATTTCTCACTTTTGTAGTTTTAACATATCAAGATTTCTCCCAACACACATAAAATTACATAAAATGTAATTTTAAACCTTTTAAAGGTGAAATGAGGGCTGCAGACATAGTTCAATGGGCAAAGCATGAGGACCTGAGTTCAAGTCCCCTGAATCCACATACATCCAGACATGGAGAATCCCATCCATAATCTCATTGCTCCTATGGCAAGATGGGGGGTAGAGACAGGAGAACTCCCAGAAGCTCACAGACCATTTAGCCTGGTATACACAATGCAGTGGCAAACAAGAGTGTCTCAAATAAGGTGGAAGGTGAGGACCTGTGCTGTCTAATTTTATGTCATCTTGACACAGCTGAGAAATGCCCACACCCGATTGGCCTGTGGTGTATTTGATGGTTGTTGTGGAGGGCCCTGCTCACTGTGTGTTACCACCACTGGTCTGTTGGTCCTGCCTTCTATAAGCATCTGAGCAAGCCATGGAGAACAAACGAGTAAGCAGCACTCCTGCATGGCTTCTGCCTCAGTTCCTGCCTCCAGGTTCCTGGATGATGGACTACAAGCTATAAGCTGAAATAAACCCTTTCTTCCCCACGTTGATTTTGCTTATGCTGTTGTATCATAGCAGTAGAAACCTAAGATAGGACCTATGTCCAAGGCTGTCCTCTGACTCCACACATCTATCATGGTATTCATATGCCCCAACTCACATACATGAACATGCATACAGACAGAAGGTGAAACAACACCTTTGTTATAAATTGAATTATCATATATGTATTTATTACTCTTATCATGTTCATGCATGTATATGATATATTGGTCATCTTCATACCCTTCTACCCCATCTTATTCTTCCTACCACTAGACTGATCTTCCTCTTCCTAGTGATTCCCCCTTCAGCCTTCATGTCTTTTTCTTAAGATTTGTTTTTTATGTATATGAGTGTTTTGCCTGCATGTATATTATATATGTATGTATATGTATGTGTGTACTGTGTGTAGGTATGATGCTCATGAAGGCCAAATTAGAGCATCAGATCCCTGGAACATGGTTACAGATGATTGTGAGCTTCCACGTGTGCCGGGAGCTAAACCCAGCCCTCCAGTGTGCTCTTAATTACTCATCCACCTCTCTGGTTCCCTACTTTTCAAAAGCATTTTTTTTGTTTTTGCTTTTTACTTAATGCCCAAAAATTTCCATTAATATTACTTACAGGAACATGTTTGAGGAGTTGTGATATGATTTAGGATTTTTTTTTTCCATTGACGTTTATGAGTGGGTTTTTTTTTTTTCTATGTGAATTTGGTCTGTGTTTTTACTTTGCAAACATGATATTGTTGATGTGTTAGTTGCTAGTGTTTTTTTTTTTTTCATTGAAAGAATGTGAAAGTTTAAAGACAAAAAAAAATTTGAAAGTTTGCATAGCAAACTGCATTTTACTCGTATTTCCGAATTCATCTCAGGAAAGGTTAATTTCCTGCATAGCTATGAATAGTTCTCATTTTACCTATTTTCATCTCCCTTTTCCCCTCAGGGTTTAGTATTTCATAGTTTGTGTCTTTCCTTCCAAAACAAAACCCACTATTTTTTTTTTATCAGTTCTATCACCTTAGCTTTTTTTTGGGGGGGGGGGTGTCAAAACAGACTGTCCTGGAACTAGCTCTAGTAGACCAGACTGTCCTTGACCTCACAGAGATCCGCCTGCCTCTGCCTCCTGAGTGCCGGGATTAAAGAAGTGAGCCACAGCTGCCCCGCTCACTTTAGCTTTTTATTTTACTATGTTTATCTTTTCTACCTTGCATCAGGTTTATTTTGTGCTACCTATTCAAGTTTTTAAATTAAAGCTGAATTTTTTGTTTTTATATTCCAGACTTACTAATATTAGATAGGTTTCAACATGCTGCATAGGTATTCCTGTAGGTAGCTGCTAGCTAGGGTGCTCACTAAGCTGCACTCCAGTTGTGGGCAGAAGGTTCCCTCATCAGGAACCATGGTGTCTCATGCTATGTAGCCCTGCCAACCTAATAACATTCTTCTTATCTGTGTGGTTATGTGTTCTCACCACTGAGAACAAAGGAAATAGAAGCAATTTCTTTTCCAGATTTTGTAACCCACACTTAACCCCTAGCTTTTGCTCACGCCTCATTATCTGAAATGTATCATGGCCACACCTTGTCTTAGAAGCACAGTGTTTAACCAGACAGCTTTGTGCTTGGTTAAAAAACACAAAGAGGTGTTTTTATTGTTTGTTTTTATTTTAATTTTCAAATTTTGTCTGTGTGAATTTCCACTTTTATTGTATACTGATGAGAGACTATTGTACTGTTTGTTTTAGGGGGTCTGTTTACACTGTAGATATACCACAGGTTTCTTTAAAAATATGTATATTAAAAAACACATATGTTAAGCCAGGCTGTGGTGGTGCACACCTTTAATCCCAGTACTTGGGAGGCAGAGGCAGGCCGATCTCTGTTCAAGGACAGCCTAGTCTACAGAGCAAGTTCCAGGACAGCCAGGACTGGTCAGAGAAATCTTGACCTGTCTTGAAAAAAACAAAAACAAACAAAAAAGTCACGTTAGTTTATTGGTGCTGGTTGGAGCTGCCGCAGTGCAGGTATGATGAGGTCAGTTTTGCCTTCTATTGTGTAGATTTTGAGGACTGAACTCAGGTCATCGGACTTTGTGGCCTTTGCCTTTGCCTGGTTAGCTGTCTCACCAGTCCTTCGCAGTTTCTAAAGACAAGCTTTTCTCTATTAGGACGTGAGGTTGGGTATATGTCAACTAGATTGGATTTTTGTTGTTGTTTTTGTTTTGTATTTTGGTTTGGTTGGTTTTAGTTTGGGTTGGTTGGTTTTTTTTTTTTTCCTGCATCTTATTATGTGGGTCTTTTATGTCTTTAAAACTTAAATTTTAAAAGTTGTCCTTTTACATTTCAAAAGTCCAAAAGTCATAATGTCTTCTGGTAGCTGATATTTGTGTTTTTCCTTGAATTACTATATTTTTAGTGAGTATTGGATGCTGACTGTGTGCATACTTAGGAGGAAGGAAGGAGACCACTGGCTAAAGCTGAGTAACCCTAGATAATCTTGTTCCCCATTTATGCAGTGTACTGAACGTGGAGAAAATAGCCTATATTCTTGGAGCTTTTTCTTTGTTTTTCCTTAAATTGAATGACAATGTTTTACTTTAACCTGAGTAAATGTTTCTGTTTTTTACTTGTTACACAGGTAATTCTGACTCAAAAGACAGGAGAGGTGAGCCAGTCACCCTCTATGTGTTGTCCTTTTAAAAGATGTATGCTGTCCAACCGTGTTTCTTCTGTGTGGGAACCTGTACATCCATGGCTGTGTTGTTGACTGTCCTTAAATGTTTCCATATTTACCTTAGAAAAGGATAAAGGAAACAAGCATTGTATTTTTATATAGATGACAGATTCAATGTATTCTATATATTTTTAAAATCTTATTTATGTATATGTTCTGCTGCATGTATGTCCCTGTATCACACGTGTATGCCTGTTGCCCATATAGGCAGTAAAAGTGCACCAGAATGGAGTCACAGGTGATTGTGAGCCCTCATGAGGGTGCTGGAAATCAGCTCATAGTCCTCATAGCTGGGGTTCTTAGTTGCTTAGCCGTTTCTCCAGCCCCTTTATGTATTTTAATCAACAACAACAACAAATTGTATATTTGTCATGTCTCCATGCTAGTATTTTATTCTTTGGTGATATATTAGGACATAATTTGTTTTATAATTTTTTTATTTTGTATGTATGAGTGTTTTGCCATTGCTTAAGTGGAGGGTATTTATTGGCCGGCTCTTCTCAATTGTGATTTATTTTTCTCTCACAGTACATTTATTAATGTGTGAAAATGTTTTTGATAGTCACAGTCAGGATGTTGCTGCTGGCATCTAGTAGTGGAGGCCAGGGATGTTTTAAAGACCCTACAGTGCATATTTTAGACTACCACTACAAAATGTCTTGAATGTGAGGTTGAAAAACCTTGGTATAGATGGAAAGAACTTGGTGTATTGATAATGGTGAAGTAAAGTGGTGATACTAGAGGGCTTGTGTAGTGGTCTCTTTAACAGGAACATTATTGCTTTACTAAAATTTTAAAGTCTGTGCAACCCAGAGTGGTGGCACATACCTTAATCTCAGTGTTCAGGAGGCATAGATAGGAGGACCTCAGTGAGTTTGAGGCCAGTCTAGGCTACATAGTGAGGCCCTATCTTGAGAAAAAAGGAAGAACTATGTCTCATTTACATTTTGTTTTTGTATGTGTGTATTCTCAGTGAATAATGGATTTATTTATACAAGAATATGGTAATTTTTGCCAAATTTAATAGGAGAGGTTAAATATTTTATAACTTTTATCTCCCCGCCTTTTTGTTGTTGTTTCATTTTTTGAGACAGGGTTTCTCTGCGTAGCCCTGGCTGTTCTGAAGCTTACTCTGTAGACAAGGCTGACGTTGAACTCAGAGATCCTCCTGCCTTTGCTTTCTGAGTACTAGAACTAATGGTGTGTATGCTTTTAAAACATAATACTATAAGATGAGCCCAGTTTCCAACACAGCTCCCAAGAGTGAGTTCTTGCTTGTCTAAAATTATGATAGATACTTGCTGATCTTACATAGATTCAGCAAGTCAAGGCAGGATCTTTATGTGTCCTTAACATTTATGGTCTTTGCACTGAGGCAAATACCCCCATTTAAAGCTGAACCCTTCTGCTCAACTTCTCAACTTGTGCCTTCTGAATCTCTGGATCTCTGGAGACATTGTACTCCACTAGGTTTAGGGTACTTGGGAAAGAGTATTCAGGGACACAGGCGTATACTTGAGAAGTGACATCTTCTTGACTTTGTATTTTTTTTAAACACTTGCAACTTTCTATGATAAACTTTCTGTAAAGCACTATTCTCCAAACTAAGTTTGAGGAGGGGAGGCACAACAGCTTAGCCTGTGAGTACTCTGGTCTGACAAGCCAGGTCAGGGTGGTCTTAACCCTTTCCTCTCTATCCCAACTGGCACAGCTTAAGCTATTTCTAGCCCTAGACTAAACTGGAAGGTATTTGACTCTGACTGGTCTCTTTAGTAGTGGATTCCTCTCTTTTGTCTTGAAATTCCTCAAAATTCTAGCCTACAAATACTGCCCTTTGCTCCCCTCAGATATGTTCTTGTTTCATTAGTAGTTTTATATTTCTTCTATCTTTTTATATGTTTGGGGACAGAGAAAGATAAGCTTGTAGTCTAGAACTGTAGTGTAGTCAATAATGACACAGAGACTTAGTAATTGTGAAAGCCCAACCTATCTATACCTTAGGCTTGTTCCTAACTAGTTCTTATAACTTAAATTAACCCATTTCTATTAATCTACATCCTGCCGTGTGACTCATGACTGTTAACTCCTCCTGCATGTCCTGCTTCTTCTGTGTCTGGCTAGCAATTCTGCCTCTCTTCTCTCCAGAATTCTCTCTCTGCCCAAAAGTTTCACCTAGCTACTGACTGTTCAGCTTTTTATTACACTGATCAAAGCAATACCTCTTCACACAGTGAACAAATATCCTACAACAGAGGCCGGAGAGATGGCTCAGAGGTTAAGAGCACCGACTGCTCTTCTAGAGATCAATTCCCAGCAACCACAGGATGGCTCACACCCATCTATAATGAGATCTGGTGCCCTCCTCTGGCCTGCAGGTATACATGCAGACAGAACACTGTATACATAATAAATAGATAAATCTTTAAAAAAAAAAAGTATCCTAGCCGGGCGGTGGTGGCACAGGCCTTTAATCCCAGCACTCGGGAGGCAGAGGCAGGCGGATCTTTGTGAGTTCGAGACCAGCCTGGTCTACAAGAGCTAGTTCCAAGACAGGCTCCAAAACCACAGAGAAACCAAAAAAAAAAAAAAAAAAGTATCCTACAACAATGTAGCTCATCTGATGGAGATGCTTAGTAACCTGGTTTGATCCATAGCACCATATAAACATGGTACAGGGTCGTGACTGTAATTCCAGTGCTGGAGGCAGGAGGATCAGAACTTCATAATGAACTGCATAGTGAGTTTGAAGCTAGCCTGGGCTATGTGAGACCCTGACTCATAAGCAACAACAACAACATAAGCTTCTAGGCACAGCCATTGTCTGTTTTGATTTGGTTTTGTTGAGACAGGGTTTCAGTTTAATCCAGGCTGGCTTCAAATTAGTGACAATCCTCTTGCCTCAGCTTCCCAAGTGCTGAAATTATAGTCGTGAGCAGTCATGCCTGGCTCTTACTCACTGTCTTGAGCCAGACTTCTCTGTTACTACCTCCTTATACTACCTCATATACTGCCCTTTATGGTCGGAATTTAGCAAACACATGTTTTCCAAGTAGATCACTCTGTGTGTATGTATTTATTTTGAAACAGGATCTCATGTAGCCCAGACTAGCCTCTCATTATATATCTTTGTGCCCCCCTCCCCAAGTGCTGGGATTACAGATTACCATCACACCCAGCTTCAGTAATTCTTTTTATTCGTTCTCTCACCTGACTCCTGTGTTTGAGATCCTCTGTGTTTTACATTACACAAAGAAATAAAACTAATATGCTTGCCAAGGTGATTTATGGCATAAAGGAGGAGTGCTCATTACCTGTAGTCAAGTAAGAAAATAACTACAAAGTATGAGAGGTCTTATCATGGGAAATAATGTGTCTCTATGAGAAAATACAGACAGGACATGGTGCACACACCTCTGGCCTCAGCTACTTGGGACGCTAAGGCAGGCAAATTGCTTGAGTCCAGGAGTTCTAGGCTGTAATGCACTGTATCAATTGGGTGTGCATCGATGTGGTGACCTTCTGGGAGAAAAGCTGTTGAAGAACTTATTTTAGAAATGATAAATTTAGTATTAGGATGCCAGAGTAGACCTTCTGGGGAAAGTGATATTGCAAATCAGGACTTGATGAGTGGGTGAACTAGGCAAAGAATGGAGGGAGGCCACATGAATCAGAAAAGTAATTGTTCAAAAGCATAAGAATGAATGCCTTCAGCTTAAGGGTGCCAGTGGTTAAAGGTTAGTGAGTGCAGGTGGGAGCTACTTACAAGTTGTTGTAGACCAGGACAAGATTAGGCTTCATTCTAACAGCTGTGGCAGTCAAAGAAGAGACAGTAGAGGTCGGGCCTAGACTGTAACAACAGAGAGTGAGAAAGAGGCAGACATGTTTGATGTATTGATTTGTTGGGAAACAATAATCTAAGTGTCGCACAAAGAAACACAAAGTAAAAGTAAGCCCGCAGGAGAGTTTATTTTTGCAAGAAGAGTGTGCCTTGGCCCTAACTAGCGTAGCAAGCACACTCTTGGGCAAGACGTGCATTTAGTTTTTATTCTAACACAGGCAGTGACTGTGTCTCCTGATGGGAACTCACCCTTACAATCTGACATGATTGGCTGATCTATAGGAAGAGGAAGGGTGTGATAGTCAAGTCTCAGAAATGTCCAGTGATTGCACACGGACGTGTAATGAGGTGGAAAAGTTTTGTGGAATGTTAACCCTTTCAGGGCCAGCTATTTTTGTAGGAAGAAAAAAAAATGTTTCTAAGGGGTTCTGGCCTTAAAAGAAACTGCTTGCAGCTGGGTCGGTTAGAGAAGGTATGCATGAAGAAGTCAAGGGGATTTCTCCATTTCTTCCTTGAGCAGCAGGAGGGTTGGAATGCTAGCTGCTGAATGATAAAAGCATCTGTGATGCAGAAAATTGATGTTGCTTATGAAGGCTGTGAAGTTGAAAGTGGAGGTGGCCAGTAGGTAGTTGAGAACCAAGCAACGAAAATATGGGAATTTCTGTCACTATTTGAAATTATAGGCGTCTGATCAGATAGTCGATTGAAAATAAAAAAGTGTCCCAGGATACAACGCTGAGAGGTGTCTGCAGTCACAGAGCACTGCTGTTGTAAAAGGAACAACCTGGCAAAGGAGACAAATGAAACAGCCAGGGGACTTCGTCATAGGGAGAAAATGCTTCAAGGAGGAGGGAACGATCATCCAGTGTGAATGGTCGTTTTAAGATGGGCATTACATACAGCAGTGTTTGAAATTTACCATCAATAGAAAAATATACTAGTTCCAGGACAGGAACCAAAAAAGCTACGGAGAAACCCTGTCTCAAAAATTAAAAAAAAAAAAAGAAGAAGAAGAAGAAGAAGAAGAAGAAGAAAAAGAAAAATATGGTAGACATTTCCTATTCCTTTAGGCTGGGATGGTGGTGCTTGCCTCCAATCCCAGACTTGGGAGATAGAATGAGGGTTGTGAACTCTGGGCTGTACAGTGATAGCTACTTCCAGTCAGTCACACACACCCCTCCGCTCCCCCCCCCCCAAAAAAAACCCTCCACATTTCTCTCCATACTGTTCCTTTTATTTGCATATATACCCTGATGTAAAAGTCCTCATAAATTGAGAGGGTGTACTCCTCTCCCCTCTCTCTATCCTCTTTTCATTCCATTTAGGCTTTCTTACCCAAACTCAAAAGAAACTACCCCAAAAACTCACCAGTAGCTGTCACCTGGGTAAGCCAGTTTCATTTCTGTTTCATCTTACCCTGTTTGAATTCATTTCTCCTTTGTTGGAGACTGCTTTTGGTTTTCTGCTAGATGACTTCCTACCTAGTGGCTGCTGCAATTCCTGAGTCAGTTTAGCAGAACGTTTAAACAAAGGAAAATTCAGTTATGTCCTTTCTGTTTTAGTCGTCCAATAATATTCTGAGTTAAAGCCACACTTGCTGCCATGGCCTATAACTTAAGTTTTCTGGCTCCTGCCTATCTCTCCAGTTACAGCTTGTATCACTCTGGCCTTTGTGCTGTTTCTTGAGCCTGCCAAACTCCTTACCAGCTGGTGAATCAGATGAAATTATGACTGTTTCTGTTAGATTTGGTTGCTGTTTGTTGGTCCTTGCTGAGCGGCTTCAGTGGAGCACTAAGTAGGAGTCAGTATAAACGTGTCAGGAGACTCTAAGGGGAGGAAATGGAGAACAGCAATGGTGTGAGAAGGTAGCTGAGACAGGATAAGTGAGGTCAAGAAGATAAAATGTTTGAGATGACAGCAGTGGACATAGTCCAGAGACCACCTGGCAGGATTGGCCTTTGCATAAAAGGGGCATACCCTCACAAAAAGTGAAGAAACTCAGGTGGGTTGTGTGGTTTGTAATATGGAGTAAAAGTGGAGTCCTGACCTGGTCTGCTGCATGAGAAATGTGGCTAGGTACTGAGCTCGGGCCTGTGGAATGGAGGGAAGGCTTGACGCTCTACTCTAGCCAGACTTTGTTGTGGTTGGCATCCTGGCAAAGGGCAGCTGAGGAAAGACGATACAGAAAGTGATGGAGGGGATAGGAAGTACATGGCAGCTTTGATGCATGGTGCATGTGGATCCAGCAGCATCTCCTTATTTAATCATACTCCCTGTGCCAGGAAACCACTAGAGTTTATGATAGAACAATCTTTTTTCTTCCTTCTCCTGTTTTTTTCTCTAGGCGGAGCTCATTGAGACTGGGAAGTAGTGTGATGTTGGGCCTACATTCCTGACCTGCCAGTATTTGTATCTCCGAATCTTTGGGTGCTTTTTGTATGCTAAGTTTTGTTTGAGCTCAGATGATATAGCAATGAAAGAGTCTCTGACTTAAAAGACAATTTTTATCCCAATATAGTTATCCCAGTGCAGGAAGTCGTACAGTAAATAAATGCATGGTATATCAAAGACAGGTGGGACCCTACCTCATCCCCCTACCCAATGGCCCTAATGTGGCAGCGGGTATTCTTTTCCCGTACACGCTAGCACATGTACCTGCTCCTTGCTCTTTTGTGTGCATTTCTGTACACAGCCCCTCTGTTTCTCATTTTGTTCTCTTGATCTGTGTGTGTGTGTTTGATATCCTACCATCTGCAGAAATCTTTAATGGGTGGTGTACCCCCACCCCCGCATCGGTTTGTCTTCCTGAGCTTCCAACTTGAGCCCTTCATTGCATGACACAATTATCACCTGTTCTTTTCTCTTGGTTTCAGATGAGACACCAATTATTGCAGTGATGGTGGCCCTGTCCTCTCTGCTAGTAATCGTTTTTATTATCATAGTTCTGTACATGTTAAGGTAAGTATGTTAATGTTACTTCATTTGCTTAGAATATCCTGATAACCCCTGTGTCTCAGTAAGCCCACACAGTCCAGAAGACAGTAGGCTAAGGACAATGTGTAGGGTAAAGGGACGGTGACTCGTGCTAATGCTTATATTAAAGTACTACGTAGAAACAGTTTCTAAACTGCAGTCTTCCTTAAGACCTAGGCACTCTCCCTTTGGTTAACTGTCCAGACCAAGTCTCCTAATTCTAGCTGAGGCTAAAGCCTAGAGTAGAGCCATGGTTTAGAGATGAAGACTTGGGTACTATCTTATCAGTGACAGGTATTTGAAGATCTTCAGCTCTGTCCTTTGAAACAACCTCTTAAAAGGCCTCTAGTAAGATTATATGCACACAAAAAACTTACTTTGTTTCTAGCTGAGGCTTTGTCCCCAAACCTCTCAAGGACCTCTGGTCTTTGTATAGTAGGCAGATCTGAGGGGTTAAAATATTCCTCTGCCTGACCTCTCAAAAGCTTCTAGATAATGAACAGAAGCTAGGAGGGAACTTAAGCGAAAAAAGAATGTGGATCATTTTGCTCTTCCTCATGACGATACTGCCCTGATGACCTGGGTTTAACTCTGCTTTATCTTGAACCCAGCCTGCTCTGTGTTCCCTTTGTTCTGCAGGAATTAAGAGAAGGACCTGTGTAGCTGGCTCCATTAAACCTGTGTTCACTTACTCTGGAGCTCTGGGTTTCTCCCCATGACTCCTAGGCTGCACTAAGAAAATACCAGGATTTTTGTTTCATAAAGATCTTATTATCCCATCCTGTCCCACCCATTTTACCGTAACCCATTCTACCATGCTCTTACACACACACACACACACCACCACCACCACCACCACCACCACCACCACCACCACCACCACCACCACCACTATATTACACTTGTCTATTATGGCTGAGCACTCAAGTGTGTGATGGAGCTGAAGCTACTCAGAGGAACCAGGCGGGTCAGAATATAGTGTTGTCTCTGCTGGACTTTAGGATGCTGAGTGTAAGGAAGACCATCCCAAGGTGCTTGGTCAGCACAAGGAGCTGCCTCAGACATGCCTGACTTGTGTCTCTTTTTTAAAAAGTTTGATTTGACAGAGAGATTTAGAACGGTGTAGTCAATAATGGGAATACAAAGACAGTGATTTACCTCTTTGCTAAGTTTTTCATGATAGATATTCTCTCATTAGGTTTAAGAAATACAAGCAAGCTGGGAGCCATTCCAATTCTTTCCGGCTGTCAAATGGCCGCACAGAGGATGTGGGTAAGTCACGGGGAACGTCTGAAGAAGAAAAGCAAGAAATGAACATTTCTCCCATCCTTTTTTATTTATTTTATTTGTGTGTACATATATACACAATGCAGTTGTGTGCTTGTGGAGATCAGAGACCAACTCGCAAGAGCTGGTTCTCTCCTTCCATCATGTGGATTCTGGGCATCCAGTGCAGTCCTTCAGACTTGCTAAACACCTTTTACCGATGGAGACATATCCCTGTCTCTTCTTCCCCATCTTCTCAAAAGAATGAGACCATTAGTCTCCACAAAGGGACTGCGTCTATCTCCAGGACACCTAATTTACCTTCCCTCTTACACTGCAGAGCCCCAGAGTGTACCACTTCTGGCCAGGTCCCCAAGCACCAACAGGAAGTACCCACCACTGCCTGTGGACAAGCTGGAAGAGGAGATTAACCGAAGAATGGCTGATGACAATAAGCTCTTCAGAGAGGAATTCAACGTGAGTCCTTTGTTGTTAACAAAGCAGAAGGGAGACCTGAGGTCTGGTCTTTCGAGTCATGAGATATAAAATAGATTTCTAATGGATAATGGGTGAGAAATGCTTTTTACCAGGTTCATCTTGCTCCTTTCCTATATAATTATGGGAAGTTTTTAAAAGAAAGAAATGGCTTCACCTCCCTCCTGCTCCCATCCGTTCATTACTGATTAGTTCACTCACCGTCATGTCTGGTAACTCATTTGTTGAATACTTACAGGCTTCTCATAGGTACCAAGTAATATTCTAGGTGCCATGGATATAATACAGAGCAAAAAAAAATCCCAATCCCAGTTTCAAAGAAATCTCCGCCCTCTCAGGAAACTCTATTTATAAGAATAAAACTCTCTATAAAGCCAAGCAATTCAAGCCGTAGTCTATAGCAGGGATCTGGACTGTTATATAGCAGGTAATAGGATTGGATTGATGTAAAAAGTAGTGGTTACAGCAGAATGCCTAGTATTGAAATTGTGTTTTCATGTCTCTCAGGGAAGCAGAATGAGCATCAACCAGCAGCTGGTGATCCCGGGTCAGAAGTTTCCTTCCTGAGTGTGCAGCTCAGTGGTAGCTTACCTAGCATGTGCAGGCCCTAGGTTCATTCCTCGGTACTACAGATTTACAGTCATGTATTCCCAACCACTTGGGAGGCTGAGGCAGGAAGGCCACAGGTTGAAGGCCAGCCTGGACACCTTAGTAAGCTGCTGTCTCAGTGGAGTCTGTAGCTAGTATTTAAGCACAGTTTCCTTGAAGAAGCAAGGAGAGTAGAGAAAGTGAAGTGAGGCGACAGAAGTAGCAGGAGCAAGCATCTGGGTGAGAGGAGGCATATTCAGAAGAAAAAGGGCTGCACGGCAAAAGAGCACTGCTGTCTAGCTACTTCCTTCTAACTGACCTGTTCCATCGTGAGGAGAGGAGTAAAGATCATTAAGACTCAGGAAGCCCAGCTGCCTGTTCTCCTCCAGAGAGCTCCGGAGAGGCACCTGAGTGGTCTCTTGTGCTGGGGTGAGCTCTTCGGTGTTTCAGCTGCATTCAAGCCATCCATATTACCACCCAGTGAACTTACTGTTCACTCTCTGTCTTTGGTGCCCTATCTGGCATGAAAAGACGTTTAGTCATGTCTTCCAAAGAATAGTCCTATAACAGGGAGTAGTAAGGGAAAAACTGAGAAAAGGCTAGTACACACCACTCAGCTGAGTGAAGCAGAAACCTGTGAACCAACCAGATTTGTATTTTGAAAAAACAAACAAACAAAACAATTCTGTTTGCTATCTGGAGAACAAACTGAGGGGACCAGGTTAGGATCCAGGAATGCAGCTAGTCTGCAACATTTGTTACAACTAATAGTAGCTTTAATAATTATCACTTTAGATAATTATTAAAGAAAGGGAATAGATTTAAGGACAGAGAAGAGTAGTTCCAAGACTGTTGGCTTCCCTGGCCTTTTTGCTAGGTGTCATCTTATAGGTAGGCTCCTCTCATAATGTCAAATGACTACCCCAGTTCTAGGCATAATATGGAGGTACAGTCAGGTCCACTGGAAGAAGGATGACTGTTTTAAGTTCCTGGAGATTTCTTTTGCCACATGCTCCTTCTTAAAGTAGTCCTAGGTAGGGGAGAGTTCCTGCAGCTGCCTAAGGTCAGTGCAGATTATCTTTGATCCAAGCATATAACCCCACAGAGGACTTCAGAGTCAAAGAGGAAAAGAGGCTGGGGATCTGGCTCACTCTGTAGAATGTTTGCCATCCAGGTCTGAGGACCTGAGTTTAGATTCTCACCTGTGTGAAAAACTGTTACTATACTCCTTTAATCCCAGGGCTAGGAAGGTGAAGACCTCCTGGAGCTCCCTGGCTGGCCTAGTTGCTGTTTCAAAATAAGAAAATTAAAAAAAAAAAGATAAAGAGTGATTGAGAAAGACACCCATTATCCTCTTCTGGCTTCCACATGCACACACATACATCATACACAGGACAAAAAAAAAAAAAAAAAAAAGGAAAAATGGCCATTTAGGTGGTCATATCAACCTCTTATAACTGCTCCACCACTGAAGGGCTTAGATTCAGATTTATATCTTCAGAAAAATCCCTGGCTTCAATGTAAGTAGAAAGGAGCAAAGATCTAAAGCCCACACTCATTTACCAAGTAAGAGTTAATAGAGTAATCCAGACCTCTTATTTTGTTTTAAACCGTTGGGAAAAGAGCACCATTTAACACTCATTATTGAGAACATTTGGCACATCCCACCAGACAGCCTCACAGATGGGACTGTGGTAGACATTGTACTGTTCTGTTATCTGTAACACCAACTGCTTCTGGATGATGGTGTGTGTGATCCTATTGACATACTTCTTTGTAAAATTAATTCTTTTTGGAAATAATATCCCCTGAGACACCATAATAAAACATTCTGGTAAATCCTTAGAAGTCCTAAAGGCATGATAGACGAGAGAGGGAGGGAGAGAGAGAGAGAGAGAGAGAGAGAGAGAGAGAGAGAGAGAGAGAGAGAGAGAGAAGAAAATAGCCATTGGCTAGCATGTTCAGGAGCTCATCAGGGATAGTAGTACTGGGATAGCAAGGGAGCATAAACATTGTTAGAACCTAATCTCCAGTGAGATGGTGTGATAGCATACTTAAAGTTCTCTTTGTTGGGAGAATTTCTCCTTACATTCATTTAGAGCTGTCAGTGAAGTATATACTCTCCAGCAGTCTACTTCTTTTTTTAAAAAAATATTTTATTTATTTACTTATTGTGTATACAATATTCTGTCTGTGTGTATGTCTGCAGGCCAGAAGAGGGCACCAGACCCCATTACAGATAGTTGTGAGCCACCATGTGGTTGCTGGGAATTGAACTCAGGACCTTTGGAAGAGCAGGCAATGCTCTTAACCTCTGAGCCATCTCTCCAGCCCCCCAGCAGTCTACTTCTGTCCAGCTTGGACCAACATAACACAAGAGTCAACTATACACCAGAGCATATTCTTTTTCTCTTAGTCATCTCTTGATATCAACAAGAAGTCATAAATGTCTTTTGAAGGAGAAGGACCTGTGGTATGTGGCAGGTCGTCTGTGTACATTGCTTCTCTCTATGGTGGAATTCTGCAGGGTATATCCAAATTTATAACTTATGAATCACATAACTAATTTATGACAGGAAGCTACCTAGTATCAAGTAAATAGTTTCCACTCTGACGCTCAGTCCTAAGCTAGGAGTGTGGTCTTGCAGACAACATCATGTACTTTCCCCTTTATGAGGTTTTTTTTTTTTTTCTTAACTGCCATATTCAACCTTGCTGTGCATGTTTTAGAGTCCCACAGAACCTGCTAGGACCAGTTTTGCCTCAGCCTAGATCTTTTCTGATCACTCAGTAACTAGATCAGAGAAGGATAGCCAGCATCTACTGTATCCTTCTCCAAGATTCAAAATGGCCAAACAAGTATTGCTCCCTTAACTGGGGGAGAGATGGTGAGGATAAGGAACAAGAGCTCGTCCTTTGGGTAGCCTGGCATGTCTACAGCTTTGACTTTCAGAAAACTTGGCTTAAGTCACAAGCCCACTGCGGGTTTTGCTTTGTTCTGTTCTGCTTTTCTGTTCACCGTGCATATCTGAAATCCATAACTTCCTGTTCTGTCAGCTTGGCATCATTAGTGTGATGGTCAGGTTAAGGTCCTATGAGACAAAATATGTAACCACAGCATAGGTAGATCAGGGCTATTTACCGCTGTGACCACTCTTTTCCTGAAAGGGGAAAACAGCTTCAAATAATGTGTTCAACTTTAAAAGAGCATGTACAAAGATTAATCCCATTGATACAGGATTCCAGCTCCTTCCGCATTCCAGTAGTAGGGGTTCTACGTTAGGAAGGAAAGTTGCTGGAAAGCCAACTGTTAAGTCTGCAGCTCCAGCTGATAACTGACTCGGTTTATCATAATCTAGTATTGATTTGATTTACTTTCTTTCTGTATAGCCCAGGCTGTCCTGAAATTTCCTCCTTAGCCCAGTCTAGCAGGGCTGGAAGTGCCAGGATATAGGCATGCACCATCACACCCAGCTCCCGAGGACCAGGTCAAAGACCATGAGGCCTTTGTGTTAGTCGTTTGGTACTCTCTCTCTCTTTTCCTTTCTTCCATCTTGCACCCAAGATACAGCTGTGTTTTCCAGACTGGCCTCAAACTCCTAGTTTCAGAAGGTTCTTCTATCTTGGTAGCTAGGACTACAGCATATATAGTTCTGTATACTGTAGGATACATAGTAGCCAGATGTCCTACAAACTTTTAAATCTTCTGTAGCACTTACGATCCCTGCTTATGTAGAGACTTAGCCTTTAGTAGGCCAGAGCTCCTGGAGCTTACATTGGCTTTCTCTGTAATCGTCTTTATCTAGTAGGTAGGGAATTCATGTGGATATTCTGCCGTAATAGGTATCCACTAGTGTAGGCCAGAACCTCTTCCTTTATCTGGCCTAAAAATGCTCCATTGTAAATAACATAAATAACATATCACAGTGAAATTCTGGATTCCCAGAAATTAGTTGTCTTAAGGCCAGAGACCAGTATCTCCTAAAAGATGTATTTCCCTTTGCCAGGGAAATGTGATGTAAATTCTTAAGATGGAGAGGGTCACAGTATATGAATGTGGATGAGCTTAGTCAAGGTTTGTCCTAGCAGCTTCCTGGTTGTGCTCTAATTGAAGGGATAAAATAGCCTAAGCTTTTAATCCTAGCACTATGGAGGCAGAGGCAGGTGGATCTCTGTGCATTTGAGACTGGGCCAGCCTCAATTAGTTCCAGGACAGCCAAGACTACACAGAGAAACTCTGTCTCCAGGAGGAAAAAATACCTAAGCTTAGGTGTCAGGTGAAAAGTGGCATTTTCTCTAGCAGAGTAGGTCCGCTGCAGTGACTTGAGCTAGCTGCCTCCTATTTCCCGGTGTTTTTTTTCACCAGTGTGTACAGCAGGACTATGCTATAGATC